AATATTGAATTTAGGGGATACAGACTGTTTTGACACACTACATGTTACTAAAAATTGAAATGTATCCCAGCAAGTGATTGTTAGGGCTTTAATGGTTTAAGATCAAGCTAAAGCAAGTTTGCTTTGAGTTAGAGTTTAGTTTGCTAACAAGGTTGCCAGTGATATTTTGCTCGTATACATAGTTAGCGAGCCTTGCACCACAAAAAGCAAATTTTAAGTTATTAGCAGGCATTTTGAACAATATGAAATTTCACTCAGGAAATACTAGAGTGAAACTGGTGAAACTATAATCAGACGCAAATGACGTTGTGCAAGCTCCAGGAATAATTCAAATCAGCTAAATTCTGAAATTAAATTAGATGTAAACATCCTCATAAAGGAGGTGTCCAAGTTGACTGGAACTCTTGCAGTAATCATGAAGGCCTCACAGTCTTGCTGGTAAATTTTAAAACACATACAAATGCACACACAAACAGGAGAGCTGAGCAAAAAAAAGAAGCCGCACATTAATCTTACCTTAGCTTCACGAATAAATCTTCCACCATCAACATTCACAGCCTCAATTGGTTTTGCTCTTTCTACTACATTGTTGTACAGGGCCTGCAACATTGGTGGACACAGTGCCAAGGTTAAAGTTAAACGTTAGTTCCATGACAATTTTTCAAGATGCTCTGTTAATAATAATTATAAGGAAATCTATGTGATATCTACATATTTGCTGCAAGTGATAACTTTGTGTGAACAGCATCAACAGTATAAATGTTAAAGGAGGATAAAAAGAAGTGATTTTATTTATCTTGGGCTCTAATATTTTAGTTCCATGCTCTGATGCAAAGAAGAACTTTTAATTAACCCGTCAGATACGACTTGAGACTATGAAAGTAAGAACATCATAATCTCCAAAACCCATATTGATACCTTAAGATACCTTTTCACCTTCCCATGCTTATTACATTGACATACTCATACATATACATGCAACTGCATGGTGTAAGTGAAATACATAAATACTCCCATTTCCAAACTAAGAAAAGACAGATAGTTAGTTTACAGTGTAAATACTAGAGAGCAATGTAGACTTGTTAGAGAATTGTTGGTAACTATACTTTTAGAAATGTTTGCAGAGTGCAATAAAACCTTACATCTTTTAAGGAACCAGTGCAGAGTATTTGTGAGTGTGCTGTGTCACTGGAGTTAGTAACCATACTAGCATACTTACATCAAGTACATTCTTACATAAAAGAAACAAAAACCCTTCATCTTTACATGCAGTGCACATTCACAGGATTTAGGCTTTTAAGTAAGTTTTCATGATTGATGCAAGTAACACTCATTTGATTAGAATTAGGACAAATTGTTCATGAACTAGAGTCCAACCAGGAATGATAAATATGCTGCCAAGGAATGTTGATGTGTGAAGATGGTTCCATGAAGACCTAAATATCAGCTGCAAAAGAACTCAACGTCCTCTCCAACAAGCCCGATATGAAGTCCTGCAAAGAGTCTGCTGTGTTGAGGAAGGTGTTACCTTTGTGTTGTCCACTTGTTCCAGCGCCTTGTACTTGGAAGGTGCTATGGCATTTAGTTGCTTGTAGCTCTCATCGACGAATTTCACTTCAGCTTCATAAGTGTCAGCAAACTTCTGCAGAAGACCATAGCCTGCTTCACAGCTACGCAGCCTATACAAATTAAGATTTTATTTTATTTATAGCTATTGCAACACTGTGTAGAGGCCAAATTCGATCCACAAAGAAATCTTACCGTTCTACAAGTTGATTGCACACATTGTTCCAGCGCTTAGTGATACGCTCAACATCTGCCTCTAGTCTATCTACATCAGGGTGACCAACACCACGATGACCACTGGTAGAGCGAGATTTCTCAACCAAGCGACGAGAGTTCACAGCATCCTCATTTAGTTGATCAATAGCAATTTGCTGTTGACTGACTACACTCTGTAGGTTCAAAAGGCTTTCATGTAGACGTTGCAGAGATTCCATATCTGAAGGCATCTTATCATACGATGCCAATTTCATTTCAAATTCGGATACTGCATTTGTTGCCTCTTCAAGACCAGTTAGCACCACTTCCACACACTTCAGCCTTTCAATATACAGATGGGATGAATTCCAGAGGGAATTCCATTTCTGTAGGCATTTATCCAGCTTTTGTTGAAGAGCTGGTGTCTTCTGGGGTACAGTGCGGAATGTTTCTTGAACACGATCTACTTCTGGTGTCAGTGCCTGTAGTCTAGTCTCAAATTCTTTGTGCTCAATAACTAGGTGTTCTAGAGAATCCAGATCACGAGGTAAGAAGGAGTTGATACGTTGGTTGAGTGTGCGTTCCATTTCATCAAGTCTCTGCTGAAGAGATCCAGCCTGGTCGTTAAACCTACGAGTGGCATTTTTGCTTTCTTCCAGCTCACGGGCTCGTCGTTCGAACTCATCAAAGAGGCGATTGACCTCATCCATTTCTCTACGCAACCTGCGCAGTTGTGGGTCAGAGGGATCTCCTTCCTGAAGAAGCTTGTCAGCATCTTCGTTGAGAGCTCGACGGATGGCATTCCGTTGGTCTTGACCCATTGCCAAAAATTGGTCAAGGTCCCAGCTCTTCACAACCTTGATTGTAGCAAAAATCATGTTCTGTCTCAAGCGCATTTGCTTCTTTTGCCACAACGCAACTGTGCGATCAAACTGGCGTCTCAAACGTTCAATAGCTTCAAGAGCCTCTTTGTCTGGAGGAGGAAGCAGGAAGACAACACCAGGAATTTGGCATTCAATGCCAGCCCGGCTGACCACGCGCCACTTAATACGACCAGAATTATCATGCAAAACACATGGATCACCCTTTTCAATATTGGCCTGTAGAAGAAAACAAAAAGAAAGTCCTGTTATAGATGTTCTTAACATAACAGATAGCAGAAAGAAGGAAAAAGAAAGAGATAAAAACATACATTCGCCTGTTTGTAAGAACAAATGGAGACAACAGGCATTGGCTTTGTGACAGGCATTCTTCGTTGTTTCATTGGCACAATTTCTTTTGCTCGTTGAGCAAGTTTTGTAACTATATCCCCATACGCATTCAACTCCTCCCGTAGCTCTTGCATTCCCTTCAGCAGGCGTTCACCCTCATCCAGGCTAAATTCAGCGGCTGAGAATGTAGTGTTCAAAACCTCATCACGCCTGTAATAAAAATAATTATTGTAATTAATAATTAAATGTTCTTTACAACATGAACAAGTTAAAACAATATATAAAAACCTACTTATTAATCCAGTTTTCAGCTTCTTTGACATCCTTGAAGAATTGTTGGGAATTGTGGGCATGCTTGAGATGTGTTTCCAAGCAAAGGGTGAGTTGTAGAACCCAGGACCACTGCGACTGCATGGCTTTCATGTATGCTTCGATTGTCTTAGTTGCAGGGTGATGTTGCAGGATAAGTGCCTCACCACGGTCCAGGACAGCAGAGAATTGAATTTCACGCTTTTCTAGGTCGCTCATGAGAGACTAAAACAGAGAAAGAGAAAAATATTGTTAGCCATCTTGCTTCAATAATTGAAAACAAGTATGCGCACACACACATGCCACACAGGTGAAATATGAATTTCATGCAAGATACCATTATCAGCTTTGAGTTTCTGACACATGTTTCAAATTACACAATTTTAATTATTTTTTGGTGGTTTGTATGAACTAGATACAAAAAGGTGTTTATAGAAATCACATCATCTGGCAACACAACACCCACAACACACAGCCTATAGTACAGCGCAATACAATCAAATACAATGCATAGGTTCCCCACAGAAAACTGAGGAGTGGCTGATAAGGAAACCAATAATGCATATTGTTTTTCAAAAATAATTCAGAAAGAAAAAACCTGTTCAGTGACACAACTGCTGAACAAAATAAAAACTCACCTCCCACCCAGATCCAAAGTAATGCTTTGCAAATTTAAGAGAAAAAAAGAGGGTAAACTGGGTTAAAAACTAAAGAAATTCCACAAAAGGCAGTTGAAAAATGAAATTAGGAGAAAATGTTGTTTGCCTCTTGAGGAAAGGGTTTAGAGCAAGCAATGGTCTTTCTTCTTACTTAAACCTAATCTGCCATCATGTTAAAAGTAAATGACGGACTTACCTCATAGTACTGTTCAAGTGCTGGCAGATTAAGGTTCTTGTCTGACCAGTCTCGAGACACCTCCACCTCTTCCTTCTCGTTGAGCCACATGAGCTCGTTGGTGGCAGACTGTAAGAAGTCGTGGAGTATCTCCAGGTCGGTTGTGCGCTTATTGGAAGCAGTCAGCAAGTCGGCATACAGCTTGTGGAGCACACTCAGATGCTGGTTGTACAGCTGCAGCTCTTCGCCATGGAAATTGGCCTTGGCTGCAGCGCAGTGCTCAACCTTGGTGTGGAACTGCTCGATCGTCTTGTGCTCCCTCTGGTGGATCGATATCTCCGTCTGCACACCGGGCAGATCCGAGCCGTACTCGGCCTCTTGCAGCTGCTTCAGCTTGTTGCGCACCCACTCAGCACACTCCTGCAGGTTCTGGAAGTGCTGGTTGGTGTCAACAAGGCGGGTCTCGACAACGGTCACCTTCTCACGGCGCACGGTGCGCTCCTCGACAGGGAAGGACATGTTGGACAGCGGGGCGATCAGCTTCTTGTGCAGGAGCGAGCGGAGCTCGACCCATCGCTGGTGAAGCTTTTGCACCCTGGAACACACAAGGTCACGGTCAGTAGGGGGCCCTTAATGGCAAGGGTAAAGGGAAAGCACGAAGTCCCCGGGTACGTACCGCTTGAGAAGCTCTGGGGCTTGGGGATAGCGGCCGTCACGGAGCGTCTGCACGTCGCCGAACAAGGTCTGAATGTTCTCCTCGACGATGCGGATGTCCTGCTCCAGAGCGTCCACGTTGCGCTTGCTATCAAGGGGGTGCAGGCGGTCCAGCCGACGTGCCTCGTCCTCGATACGCACCTCCAGCTCCTCAAGACGGCTGTCAACTTGCTTGATCTCTCGGTGGACCTTTTCAGCCAAGCGTTGCAGCCGTTCCAATCTAAGATTCAAAGTAAGTCATGAAAACGCCAAGCTCGACTGCTCAAAAAGGCCCCACTCCATTCGGAATTTAGGAGGCAAGACCCAAATTTAAACAAGAAAAGTACCGTTTAATTTCTTCCTGAATAGCGACGTCCCTGTCTTGGTGCGCGATCATGAGACGGTTCCATTGTCGGTCGATTACTTCAATATGAAGCTCGGATGATTCCAGATCTACTTCACTCTGGGAAAGTAATTGGCACGCAAACATGGAGAAGGTCAAAATTCGAGACAGAATAGAGTACTTAATTCTTCACTTATTAGTGTGACTCTGACTAACCTGCAGTTCGCGATAGAGCTGTACCAGGCGCTGCTTGTCCCTCTGCCTCGGTGGCACCTCCTCGTTGCGGAAGCGCACCGACTCGTTGGCCAGCTTCTTCATCTCGATGAGCGTGTTGGGGAAGTGGCGGTCCTGCATCACCACCAGCTTCTCGCGCATCCACCTGGTCAGGTCTGTGGCCAGGTCCCGGTACTCGTTCAGCTTGGCAGAGGACTCCTAGGTAGCGCAACCGAGGAGAGACGTTAGTCAGAGATAGACATCACAGGTCGTAAAAAGGTAAAAACAATAAGATGATTATGAGGTAATCATAATAAACATGAATGTGAGAAAAACAGTAATAAAAATCAAATTATGTAATTAAAGTGTGTAAAATGTAGCGTCATCGTGTAAGAGTCATTTCTTGGTGTGTAATGATGTTTGGTAAAAATTATGTTCAGAAAAAAAGGACAAATTAAACAACCAAATAATTTCAAAAACTAAGAAACCCCCTTTGGTTCTTACGCCATCATAAAGTGGGTGTTGTTGGGGTGGGTCGGGGAATGTTTCATACATAGAAGAAATGTATGTAATAAGTGACTTTTCATCCGGTTCGTTTGTATCCACATCTAGAAAAGAAACGGAGAAAGAGGTTAGTAAAAGTTACGACTAGCAGAGCCAGATGATATGTATGAGGTTATAATCAACACCATAAACATACCTTCGGGATCCAGAAGCCTGGTGACGCCAAACTCGCGTTCCGCAAGGTAGAACGCCGTTTCGAGTCGCTCCCGCACAGCCCGCTTGCGGATTTTGCTCCAATCGACCAGGTCCGGCCTACGCAACGAAACAGAAACAGATTTAGGAAATGAGCCGGTAGACCACTTACGAGCATGATGACGTGCTAAGCGAACATCACCCATGGAGTCCCAAACCCCTTACGAAGACCGGGTAGGCAGCACCGCCAGACACTACAGCCGCGCGGGTCTGCCCACCCCACAAGGGGCTCCGGAGCGCCTTACGAAGGCCGGGTAGGCAGCACCGCCACACTGGAAACGCAAGTGTGTGAATGTCGCTCACTTGCAGGTGAGCGAATATCCATTCGTACACTTACAGAGGCAAAGGGTGTGAATTTTCTAGGAAATATTCACACCTTTACCCCCCGTAAGTGTACGAATGGGTATTCGCTCATCTGCAAGTGAGCGACATTCACACACTTGCGTTTCCAGTGCAGACACTACAGCCGCGCGGGTCTGCCCACCCCACAAGGGGCTCCGGAGCGCCTTACGAAGGCCGGGTAGGCAGCACCGCCAGACACCAGAGCCGCGCGGGTCTGCCTACACCTACCCCACAAGGGGCTCCGGAGCGCCTTCCGATGGCCGGGTAGGCAGCATCGCCAGACACCAGAGCCACGCGGGTCTGCCCGCCCCACAAGGGGCTATCTCTCTCCGCGCTCCTTACCTGTTTCGATGGATGATGGCGTTGAAGGCGAGGCCATCCCTCCAGGACGAGGTGAAGTCCCGCACCGTGACGCCGGGGTACTTGTTTGTGGAGCGGCGCGCCCACCGCAGCAGCACGTCGCGGGCGTTAACATTGGGCTCCTGTCCGACCACGATGTCGGAGATCTGCAACAAGACGACGGCGAGCGTGAGGAGAGAAGAAGCAGCAGCAGCGGCGGCGGAGCGCTATGCCGGTGACAGCGCGTGCGCGGCGCGTCCCCGACAGAGGTTTATTAGTCGCCATTGAGGTTGAGCCGCCCCGGGGGGGCCACTCTCGGCTCATTATTCACTTTCACCGAGCGAGCGCACCGCGGGCACGGCGCCGCACATTCACCCGAGGGCGCCCGCACCCTCCTGGACGCGCACCCCTTGTTAGGATCATCCTTCAGGACGCACACCATACACGACGCGCACCCTAAGGGACGCACACCCTTTAGGATGAACATCCTTCAGGACGCAAACCCTCCAGGGCGCACACCCTACAGGATGTTCACACTCCTGGACACACATCCTAGAGGACCCACTCTCTCCAGGCCACGCATCCCACAGGACGCATCTCACACCCTACTGAACGCACACCCTCCGGGACGCACACCCCCGTGCCCCGTCGCGTTCAAGTCTCCAGTCCCCGTTTCAGCACCAGTGGGGGCGGGTGGAGGTCATGACCCCCCTCGGCAACATTCCTGGCCAGGTCCATTGTGACACGGGCTGTGTCCTCGCCACGTCGACGATCGACGTCGACAGTCGCAGAGAGACATGTCCGTCACCACACCATCGAGAAGGCCCTCGCCATCTCGCGCGGCAGCTGGAGTTCCTCTGTGTCCTCCACCCGCGCCACTACAATAGCGCCCCTTTTCTGCAGACAGCCACGGCGTCCGGCCGCAAGGCCCAGCGGCGCGGCGCCCACTGACAACTATGCTTGCTGCTGACGCGTGCTGACGCGGCAGTCCCATTCAGCAGGCCGTCAGTAAGTGTCAGCCCTCAGCGGGGGCCACACAGCGCCAGCCAGCACCTGCCACACGGCGCTGTGGACCGGCCGCAGGTGGCTGCGATAGGGCGCTTCATCCTCCAGGTGAGGAGAAGGCACCCACACCCGACCGGGCCACCCTGGAGCCACTGCCCAGGGTGCCCTCCCCGAGGCGTATTGCCTGGCCCTGCCCAGGGTGCCCTGTCCGGGGCGCCCTACCCTTGCTCAGCCTTGCCCGAGGTGCCCTGCCCGAGGTACTCTGCCCGGCCCTGCACGGGGTGCCCGGCCCCCTGCCCTCCACGGCCCGGTACCTGGCGAGGTGCCTGCCTGGCGCGCTGCCCGGCCCGGTCGGGCCCGGTGCCTGCTCGGGTCCCGCTGCACGCCGCGGCCTGGGCCTGGGCCTGCAGCAGCAGTTCATTGACTGGCCCGGCCGTGGCGAGCCCAGCCGGGCCGCAGCGCGCCGGTACCGGCCAGTCCAGTGCGCCGGTGCCAGCCGGACCCTCGCGGATACCCCCGCGCCCGTCCCTTGCCAGCCCGCGTGGCGCGGCGCGGGCCCAAGGGCCTAACGACACATTCCAGTCGCCGGCGCTCCGCTTGCCGCTCCGGGCACGGCGGCCCTCCCTGACCTACACGCACCGGGCGCGCGGCACGGCGGCGTCACCGAGTAGGCGAAAAAGCTAAAGACTCCAAGGGAAGATTATCTTTCGGCTATCGCTCGACCCTTTCATGTTACTAGGGTATGCTAACTTCAACACAGTTCTCACAAGACTGCCCGGTGAACAACGCCAACGCCCGTCGTAACTATAGATAGTATAATACAAATAAGGGGGACTCTTGACTAAATACCGGTGCTTTGCCCCCACTTGCCCACCCGGCCGGTCCATCTGGCCACCCTGGGCTGAGCTGGACCGGGCAGGACAGGACAGCCTCGCGGGCGTACAGTTATGCGCGGTGGGCAGGGGTCTCCCGAAGAGGCCTCCCCCCCCACCCCCTCTCTTCCTGGCCTTGTACGCACTCGGCGGTGAACGCAGTCGCCCCGAACGCCTCGATCGCTTCACCTCGCCCCGCCCGCCCCGTCCCCGCCACTGCGGATTAGCATCGCGGGAGATAAGGCACCGTTATCACTCATCGAAATCTGATCCGCGACAGCTGCCCAATCATCGCACTAAAGTCGGCCGCCTCAGGAAAATAAACAACATACAGACAGGATTGAAACTTACGCGGAAAAATTGTGCGAAAACGTTGTCCGAGTACAAAACTGATGACTGTTCATGTTAACACGTGGAGGACAAACCAACGAACCGGCCAAAATGAAATTCTCGAACGTGGGGGGTCTGATCGTCTGATCTGAGAGCAGAGCGACGCGCAGCGCGGGCCGAGCAGAGCGAGCCGAGCGAGGCCCGATGACTCGTGGGTATCATTATTGGAGCTGGTTGGCGCGGCAACGGGGCGAGGCGCGGGCAAGGGACGAAAGGTTTGCTTCTGGACGACCCGAACCCCGAACCACCACCCGAACCTGGTCGCCCGCGATATTAATTAACAAATAAATCTATTTCCGTGCGTGTGTTTTTTCGTGGTCGGCCACGAACGAGCACGTGCGGGAGGCGAAACAGACAAAACCAGCGCGCGCACATCTGCGTATTGGAGCCATCACGTTATTGGCAGGCCGTGGCTCCCACACGGCCAAAGCCAGACCGCAGGGGCTTATTGGGCCGGCGAAACCGAGGGCTCTCCCCCCGTCCCCTCTCCCCCGGCTCTCCTATCTGCCCTTCCCTCCGGCTCTCCTCTCCTATCGGCTCTCCCCGCGGACCGCAAGCCCAGCGGGCCTGGCGCTGCACGGACCAATCACCATAATCACCCACCCCACCACCCTCCCCTCCCCCCTTTTCTCCGCGATGCACCGCCATTGTTAACGCGGGCCTCTCCGGCGCTTGGGCTTGGGGCCTCGGGGCCCTCGGAGCCTGCGGTCGCCGCGGAGGGCCTCTCCCCCCGCTCTCCTAAGGCGCTCCCCCCCCTTTCACCCTCTCCCCCCTTTCTCCCCAACACGCACGCGCCACGCGCCGCGCCTGAGCGACGAGCCGGCCGAGCGCATCGACGCGTTGTCAAAAGATTTGCATTTCATTTGCAACAAAAACGGCTCGGCTCGCGACGAGATCGGGGCGTGCTGGGGCGTGTTGGGCTGGGGCAGGCAGCCCCGCTAGGGCACGGCGTTTAATGCATTCATGATAACGGGGGCCAGGCCAGCCGGGCTCGTGCGCTGCCGGCTGCTCTGGCCGAGAATGACCTCGCCCTTGGGAAGGCAGATAGCGGCCGCCACAGTGTGGTGTTCGGCAGGACGGCGGCAGGACATCAGACTATCGCCCGCCTATCTCGCTCGTTCGACAGGACGGCCCCGCGGCCCGCACGGCAGACGGCAGGCCTGATGTCCACCGCACCTCGGCATTCCAATCCAATAAGGTTTTAAGCTCCCGCACCCCCTCCCGGGCCGGGCGCTGCTCTGGCTGCTCCTACCTGCGTGGCGTGGCGTTCGCACCGCGGCTGGCCGCCCGCCCCCGCCGCGCTGGCCGCCCCCCGGGCTGGCGGCGGCGGCCCCACGGCCAGGCCGCGGCGGCCGCGGGGGGGCCTCCTGGGGGGCGGGCCGCCGGGGGCCCTGGGGGCCCAGGGGCCGGGCCAGAGCGAGGCCCAGTGCGTGGCCCAGCGAATGCCCCACATCACGGGTCCTGCCTGTGCCCGAGGAGCCGCGACCGAGTACTGCCTTGCGCTGCGCCCCCGGGGCCCGCGGCCCCCGCGAGAGCGCGCGCTATCAACGCGATAAACCTTAGCGCGGGCTGATTTCCTTTCCTGCGCAGGACCCTGACCCCCTCTCGCCCGCCCCACCCCGCCGCGCTCCGCCCGGCACAGGACTACTGTACCGCGGCGCCGCGACTCCACGACGGCGCGCCGCCCGGTACAGCGGAAGCCGGGAGAGCTTCATGCCGGAAGCTTACGGAAGACGACACGTCGCGGCGGGCACGTCGAAAAGTGGAAATAAAATGAGACGGCAAAACACAAAGTAGTGTTGGAAAGGAGAGAGGTGGAGGGGGGAGGGGGGTACAACGGGGCGCCGCCGTAGTCCTAGTGCTGTACCAGG